TTGTACCCACTGTAAGATGTTTGGTCATGTTCTTAATAAATGCCACAAGTTTCATCCAAACTAAGGTTCAAGTGAATAAGGATGTAAGGATGGGTCTAACCCCACTGCTCTGGATATTTTAGTTTCATCTGGGGAGGATACTATCAGACTGAAGGTGTCTATTGCCCTTAAGGACCCCCCATGACACTGCTGTTACTGTTAGTGCGAGTGATGTGATGCTGACATCTTCAAACCCCATAGAAAACAATACTGATGGACTATTACCTACAAATGATAGTGTTCAGACTGAGAATCAGGAGAGCCTTGTAGCTCCACTTCTTTAGGATGTATTCGGTGTAGATGCAACTCATACTTCACATATACTAAAACCTATTGTGGGTAGGTTGGTATTTCTTCTGCTTCAGCTCTATCACCCCATCAGACTGATTCTCCAGATGAGGAATGACAGATCTATTCTAGGAGGAAGAAGAAGAATGGAGGCCGACTCCAGCTCGGGAACATATTTGGATGATACATTGGTTACTACTGGCAATGACAATCATCTTGTCAGCTTATTAGCTTGCTCTTTCCTTAGAACTAGAGGCAGAGGCAAGACCAAATTGGGTCCCTCTCTAGCCACCCGTATTTCGACATTGTTAGGTTTTTTATTTAAGTATCTAATGCATTTTTTTTCTGTTTTTTCGAGATTTTGGAACCATTTGTGATTTTTGTGTGGGCAGGGTGTCATGCTTGGGCCCTCCAACACGTTGTATATGTACCTTTCTTCTATTTAATAAGTATCATTCTTTCTATTTAATATACTAGCATTTTTGGGCTTTCAATATGTATATATATTTTGAAATGATAAAATTCATTGATAAAAAGAGAGGATACAAAAGTTTTAGTGAGTGGGTACAAAGAACTCAACTCACAGAGATTATAAACATATTCCCCAAAAATAAATAAAAAAAAAACAACTCCTAATCATTGTAGGTGTAGTCGGTGGATATACCGCTTCCCCTTCCCTTGGATCTAGGGAGGGAGTCTAGCAACATACTGAGATGTGGGCTTTCGCCCTACACAATGATACAATCATTCTGAGATTTGCTGAGATCTGATAATCCTTTCTTCTTCTTCCTAGATTTGTAAACCAGCCAATCATCTACCAGAGGTAGTCATGTGTGAACAATAGGTGGATCTTCGATGGAGGTAAACTGTTGATCTGACTCAGCCTGCAGCACATCTTGTCTTGATCCTGACACTCCTCCCTGACACTCCTCCATAACTTTATTACCCTCTTCTCTCGCAATAGGTGGTTCGAAGACACTAGCTTTGCTGCGACAAAAATTCATAGAATTTGTAATCTGAGGAAGAGCTGCCTCAACAACAGTAGGCGGAAGCTGCTGGTCTAGTTGGTGAGGAGTAGCCTTATGAGTCAAATTCTCATTCAATATTTCTGGAAGATTAAGAGTGTCTGTTATAATTTCCTCCACATGGATGATGCTATTAGGACCTGTCGATCTTAATTGTGGGTGAAGCCTGAAACATTTGATAGGGGTGTGCCCAAATAGTTTACAGTGATTGCAGTAGTAGGGTCTTTGTTCTGCTGTAATTGTTTGCCAATACCCATTGTGGGCAGTATCAAGCCATATTTCGTCCACATCAAGGAGGGTGATATTTCTTTCAACAACAATTCTTGCAATCGAAGGGCTGGTTAGATTGAAGGTGGGTGTATCCAATCTCATAGGTCTCCCTAGTGCAACTCCAATAAAGTAGAGGACTTGGTGGTTGAAGTAGTGCATCTTTAGGCCAGATAGTTTAAACCAGATTGGAACTATAGGTGGTTCTTAACTATGGTCAAATTCAGGAGACCACTTAAGCGGCTTCATATATTTTCCCTCTTTTGTCATAAATTTTTTGAAAATTATTTTGGCAGTCTTTTACTTTAGATAATTGTATCATCACATGTCTCCCATCAAAGAGGCAAACCTTTTAAAGTCCCAATAGTTTGAGATCTTCAAAAGCCTTTCGAACTATTTCCATTTTGGGATGTCCCAATTGGAACTTTCCAATGAGGGTGAATTTAAACTTGTTAACCAGGTTGAAAATTTCAACATCAGAGAAGTATATAGCCAGTTTGCCAGTCTTCCTACCCATCTTATTGATAAGGTTGTAGTCCTCTCGACTTTCGAATGATTCATGGTAAATCTGAGGGAAAACCTGATCTGATCCCATAGAGTCAACCATATCAACAAAGGAAGCCTTCGCAAGGTTTAAAACTGTTGTAGTCGGTGGTTGAGAAGGAGCAGTAGCCATGGAAGGGAGTTGAACAATTGCTAGCTACTTGAGTCTGGCTGCGAGTAGTTCACAGGACAGAGAGTAGTTCACAGGAAGGAGGCGAGTGCAATAGACAGAGGCACAGAGCCGTAGAAGTCGGAGCCGCAGGAGGCACAACTGAGAACTCGCGACGTGGGAGCCGCAGAAGCGAGGCGTAGCTGACAAACGAGCGACACTTCAAACGTGGCAATGCGCGATGGACAGGAGCCGTAGAAGCGCGCCCGCAGGGCTGACAGACGCGCGTAACTGTGCGTGACGAAGAAATCGACGCCAAACGACGCGGACGAAGCGCGATGGAGAAGAGATACGACAAACTGCAATCGATGAGGAGACCAGGTTTTGCCCATGAAGGCGAAACCCTAGCAGAAAGAAATCGGAACATACGACATTTTTTTATATTATATTTTCATATCCTCCAATATAGCTATTATCAAATTATAATTAAATTTATGAAAAATATATCCGTATTCATTCAACTTTGGTCTCCAATATATGTAATTATTATTCCCAAAAGATTTCAACCGCAAACTTTTGTGTAAATAAGGATGGTGAAAGATTAGTAGCCATGTCTTTCACTAGTATAAATGATGATGTTGGCGTATCATGGATAGAAGTAGGCGCAGCTGTGGATATATAGGCTAGAAAATATTGTGATTTCATTGATGCTTCAATACTCAAGCATCTATTGGAGATTCTTTTCTCAGTTTATGTTCTACATGAAAG